AAGCAAAGTTGGAAAGCGAAACACAAATAAGGTGCAGGGTTAAGCGGTGCAATTGCAACTTTGCGAATACAATTTTTTCAAGTAAGTATTTGTAAATAATGCCCAGTTAGTATGCTTTAAATGTAATGTTGACAAACATTGTATTTCGATAATGCCACAAGAGGCGCGCGCGTTGCGAAAACCCGATGCTCCATCAGGGTATAACAGGGCTGGATTATCCCGTGTAAGAGTTTTGGTTCGTGCCGCGCATGACGTCACTTGATGAGTAGTTGCGGAGCGAATACACGAATAATAGTAATATTATCAAAGAAAATAGAGAAATATCTGGACATAGTGCGTTTTTATAAAACTTAATATGGAAGAAAGTGTTATAATATGGAAAATAGATGCTTTCAGTCCTTGATAACATTTAGGGCTGTAGTTTAATCGTTGGTGATTTAAATTAAACTTATAGTCACTGTCCAGAAAATGTTTATAGGAAACAGAAGCGGTCTTAACGTTAATATTGTCTATTATTTTTGTGGCATTTAACCACTGTTTGCACAAATCAAAGTTTTTCGGGAATCGATTAAATTTAATGTTTTTATTTAAAGGGTTTTTCTTGGACTGGTTGTCCGAATTGCATCCAAATATGCCAAACCGCATTTTAATAAATGCAAATAGCACGACACAAACTAAAACACAAACAAAACAAGTTAACGCAACACAAAAACAATAATAAACAAACAGAACAGGTTAACAGAACGCAATAACAATAATTTGAACACTGAAAAGTAATTCGAACCTTACCGAACGCAAAAAAACAAGTTAAACAAAAAATAGAGCAAGTTAACATCCAACAGCATCGCAAAAACAAGAATTTTAGCATGAGATAAGTCCAAACTCAAATATAAATTATAATAGTCAAGTTATCATTAGTTAATTTTGCACCAGTAAATACCGAATTGGATACTTTGGCAAAACATGAAATTGCAACTTCCGATTAGTTTTTGAATTACATTTACAATTAAAAACATAATACAGACACTAACGGGCCATTCCACGCTTAACGGATAGGACAGTTGCCGTGTTTTTATTTACAAAATAATATTGTTCTATTATATTACCAATGTCAATTTTTTATAAATAGTTTTAAACAAAAGCTGTTTAACAAGGTTTTTATTTCGCAAAATTAGGTATCGTGATTGACTGTTTAATTCCTTAAAAATTAATAATTTAAAGCGCAACGGACGGGTCTATTACAAAGTCCCGTCCGTTACGCTTTAAATTATTAGTTTTTAAGGAATTAAACAGTCAACCACGATACCTAATTTTGCCAAATAAAAACCTTGTTAAACAGCTTTAGTTAAGAACTATTTATAAAAATTTGACATTGGTAATATAATAGAACAATATTATTTTGTAAATAAAAACACGGCAACTGTCCTATCCGTTACGCGTGGAATGGCTCTAACGTAACTATATAAGCATATAAATAGTAATTAATCAAAATCGAGTACTTAAACCAAGCAAAGTTTGTTAGGTTTTACTTGGAAAGCGAAACACAAATAAGGTGCAGGGTTAAGCGGTGCAATTGCAACTTTGCGAATACAATTTTTTTAAGTAAGTATTTGTAAATAATGCCCAGTTCGTATGCTTTAAATGTAATGTTGACAAACATTGTATTTCGATAATACTATCGAGTGCCACAAGAGGCGCGCGCGTTGCGAAAACCCGATGCTCCATCATCCATATAGGAAACAGAAGCGGTCTTAACGTTAATATTGTCTATTATTTTTGTGGCATTTAACCACTGTTTGCACAAATCAAAGTTTTTCGGGAATCGATTAAATTTAATGTTTTTATTTAAAGGGTTTTTCTTGGACTGGTTGTCTGAATTGCATCCAAATATGCCAAACCGCATTTTAATAAATGCAAATAGCACGACACAAACTAAAACACAAACAAAACAAGTTAACGCAACACAAAAACAATAATAAACAAACAGAACAGGTTAACAGAACGCAATAACAATAATTTGAACACTGAAAAGTAATTCGAACCTTACCGAACGCAAAAACAACAAGTTAAACAAAAAATAGAGCAAGTTAACATCCAACAGCATCGCAAAAACAAGAATTTTAGCATGAGATAATTAAAAAGCACGTAAAGATTTAAAAACACTTATCAAGTGACGTATTTAAGCCCCGCCCAACATGCGCACCATCCTATCTTAAGGTGTATGTAACTTGAGGGTATAATGATTTACTCAAATGTCAAACAAACACATTAAAAATAAATTAAAATTATAAAGCATGACATGTATTATAAAGCATGACATGTATTAAAAAATTAACTTTGTTATTATTAACAAATTATTATTATTATTAGACAGTTTTATAAATAAATAATATCTAAAACAAAAAATAGTCGCGAGAGTTTTTTATACTTAAATTATTTCCCCCTTCTGCGGCCATTTTCGGATAAGCACTTTTAAAAATTGCTCGATATCTCAAAAGTGCTTAAAAGTTTTCAAGCGATTTTAAAATGTGCTAAATTTTATCGATATTTGCATTTTCTGCCATAACTAAAAAGCGTATATATGTTTTACTCGGTTTTACTTTAAACTTTTTTTTTAAATAGGTACGTTACCTACATTTTCTTGTCAAATATATTTTTTAAATTATCCGCCCAACTCGAAACTTTTCTTAAGGTTATTTTGAAATATGAGTATTAGTATGGCCCGTACAGGCCTATGTTTACTTACGCCGATTTTTGTTCGTCCCCAGCAACTGCACGGCTTCACCCGTGTTTGCTGGGTGCGAATGTCCATTGCGTTCCGTACTGTCCCCTATTTGGGTCTCGAGAGCGACGGGCGAATAGTTTTAATAGCCATTCTCGGGTTCGCCGAGCCGATGCTATACGCTCAGTAGGGTATAGAGGAGGAGGGACGGGAGGTGGTTTTTGGGGGACAATTACGCCGACATAAAACTAAGTACGACGCGGAATCCCCCTAGACCAGTCGATTAGTATCACTCCAAACATTTGGGATTATTATTTGGAGTTGGGGAGTTGTTATTTCGCTGCAGGGGTGTAGTTTCCTAGTCGAGGTCTTCGTCTTGTTCATTATTGTCATTGTCCGTGTCAGATAGTTCCTGCACCTGGTAAAGTGTGTCAGTTGTTTTTTTTATTTTATTTTTATTGTTGCTTAGTTGCTCCCAACTGGTCTTGTTAATTTGTGAGAAGGGCATGTTTTGTGCTAACTTTTAGTATAAAGTCTAATGTGTTTACAAAATCCATGGAGTTTGATTAGAGTGCTTTTTTTTACTTTGTATATGTTTTCTTAGTTTATGAGTGTTATTTATGTCCTAAGTGTCAAATTTATTTGGTCTCGATTTGTTGGACTTGAATTGTTTTGTTGACAGCTTTATTGCCCTGTGTGTGTCCGCGACAGGCTGGTTGGTTTTTTTGGATAGTATTGACTTTCTTTTGTTACCGATGTTTATTGTTTTTTTTTGTAGGGATTAGGCAATGTGCCTTGTCTAGTTTAATTTGCAAATTATGTGTTAGGTCATGCAGATGAGTTGAGGATACTTATCAATTTTTGCAGGTGGCCTATTCCTCCCTTGTTTGACCTCTTTTGTTTGTCCAGTGAAAATCGTCCTGTTGACAGGTAGTGCGACCGCTCAGACGCTGACACTTTTCACTTAAATCTTTCTTGTCACTTAACACTTCACTCTTTTGACCGTTTCACTATGTTCGTTTGCACTTGTCACTTCACTCTTCCTTTTCTAGCCCTTAACTAATTATTGACCGTAGAGTAGGCTGTACTCACTGTATTGTTACACTATAGTTGTTTGCACTATGTGGGATTATTTGTTGGTTATGGTTTTCACGTTTTACGTTTTAATCTCTGACTCAGCTACCAAGCGACCTACTCTGTCAAGCGCTGGGACGAGACTGCCAAGTGGTGTTTTTTTCTTAAGGTTATTTTGAAATATTTCAGATAAATTATAAATAATTATAATAATAATAATAATAAATAATTATAATAATTATATTCTATAAATATAAATAAAAATAATTTTTAACTTTATTAAAAATCATTTTTAACTTTATTAATGGTTTAAGTTTGTGAAAAGTTACAATGCGCGTCAAAAACGCATAACAAGTAAAAAAAAATCCAACTCTAAAACGCCTTTACCAATCTTTATAAAATCTGAATAAAAATACTTTAACTTATATCTCAGTATACGTGTCCAAGCGTTTTTCGAGAAAATATCCTTAAAGCCCTTTTAATTAATAATAAAAAACGCTCGAAAAAAACTTTTATAGGGATATTTTTTTAAGTAAATAAAAAATATGCTGTGAAAGACCGTATTTTTCTTAGTATTCCCTAAAAATGTTGTACAAATCAAACGAACATTAACAAAAAAACAGCGCTTCAAAGTCGTCAAAAATGACCTCTTTTCAGCAAAATAATCAAAAAGGGGTAATTTTTACCGACTTTGAAGCGCTGTATCTTCGTTACTGTTTGTTTGATTTGTACAAAATTTTCAGGGTATACTAACAAATATACTGTCTGTAACAGAATATTTTTATTTATAAAAAAAAATCCCTAAAAGTTATTTTTAGAACGTTTTTTATTATTAAATAAAAGGGCTTTAAAAATATTTTCTCGAAAAACCCTCGAATACGTAAACTGAGATATAAGTTGAAGTATTTTTATACAAAATTTCATAAAGATTGGAAAATCCGTTTTAGAGTTAAATTTTTTTACTTAAGTAATAATAATAATTATTTTGACGCGCAGTGTATCTGAATGCGTATTTTGTTATTTCTATGGAATAAAATCAAATAAATTATGCCAGATATCCGAATTAGGTTTATTTTTAGCTTTATATCTTAATTTTATTTTTAATCCATTTTAATTTAATTTAATAAATATACATTTTTCCAAAAACATTAGAATTAATATTTAAAGTATAACATTTAAATGAATACATATTTTGTTATTTTAGCTGCTGAATTAACCAAAGTTGATGTATCCCACAAAGTGGATGATAGTTCTGGTTCTATTGGCAGAAGATACGCCAGAACTGATGAAATTGCAATCCCATATGGTATCACAATTGACTTTGATACTCTTAAAGAGCCACACAGTGTAACTTTGAGGGAAAGAGACTCCATGACCCAAGTTAGAATACCGGTATGAAATGAAATTTATATTTTATGATTCATAATCAAAACCTTTTTATTTATAATAATTATTTATTATTATAAATATTTAACAATATTTACAAAAGAAATATTTTTAATCTTTAATTTTTATTTGTATTTATTTAATATATTTTTTTAGATGAGTGATGTTGCAACTGTGGTTCATAATTTGGCCTACAGTAAACAGGAATGGAGTGATATTCAGAGCAAGTATCCCAAGTTTGAGGCTCAAGAAAGTAAAGGAGTTTAAACTAAATGAATTTTAAGTAAATAATGCATTTTTCTTAATTAATTATGTTTTAATTAAGCTTTATAAGTATTTATTACCTAATGATTTTAATAAAATTATGCTCATTATCAATATGGCTTTTTATTTAAATATGGATACAGTTGAACTTTGATAACTCAAACCATGACTTGCCACAAAAAACTTTGGGTTATTAAATTACACATTATTCTCACTCTTGGCGCTATTGCCAACCAATTTGATTCGAGTTATCAAGACTTTGAGTTATTGACTGTATTAAGGTTAAATTTTGCATTTTAAAACTATTTTTTTTAATCTTTAATCTAATATATATACCTCTTTTTTAGAATCCCAACTAAAGTATTTTGCAATTAAAAATATTTTTGTTAAATTTGACAGGTTGACATTTTTCCTGGAAAAAAAATTTTTGGAGTCAGATAACTTTGCATTTCTGAAAAATCTAATAAAAAATAAAATAACTAAAAATAACTAATCTAATAAAAAATAAAATAACTACCTACCAGTGTTTCATGAAAATAATCTTTCTTTAAGTGGTTTTTTTATATTTTTTTAAAGTTTTTTAGTAAATTTAAAATTAAATAGTATCTCATTGTTTGCATTGTTATCAAATTTGAGAAAAAAAATACAAATCAAGTCTGGAAAAATAAGAAAAAATATTTTAGAGAATTCACATCACTTATTTACATGATTAACAAAAAACTTTTTTTTAAATTAATATCTGTAAGTATAGCCAATTTTGTAAAAGGGCACATAAACAGTAAAAAGCTTATATATATATATTCTAAATGAATGAATTGTTTAAATCAGTTTAAATAATTAAATATTGGGTTTCTAAATTATTTAAAATATAATAATAAACAAAATAATTTAAAATACTTATGCAAACTTTTTTCAAGGTCCATATTTAATTTTTTAGTTTATATAAAAACAAAACACTTTTTGCCTTTTATTTTGAAACTACAAAGTAGTAAAGGTTAGGCAACTGGTATGCATTTCTAAGGAAATAAAAAACAAGCATTGGTTTGACTTTTATTATGGATATATTTAATACAAATAATCAGGGCACTTTGACTAAAGTCTTTGGATATAATTTGTTCTTGACACTACCCTGATCTAAAATAGCCTTGAACCCTAGATTGGTGTACCATTCTTAAACAGTACTAGACAAATTTAAATAAAAAAATCATTGTTATTGATAAATAAATAATACCAACAAAAGTTATTGCTCATTAAAAAAAATTACACAGTGCACTCTAATTTATTCATTGATATGACTAAATGAAATACGCCAAAATACCTCTATAAACATTTATTTATCAATAACTTAACAATAAATTGTAGACAAAAATTACAAAAAAACTTGTAAATTATCTCTATTCAAGGTCTGGAATGGGGCCATCATCTGAATCGTCATCTTCTTCAAGGTCCTCAAAACCAGGTTTTTCACCACCTGCCCCAAGTCCCCCCATCTGCCTCATCATTTCTTCAAAGTCTCCTCCTCCTCCCATTCCACCCATTCCCCCCATTCCCATACCTCCCATACCAGCTCCCATTCCACCAACGCCCTCATCACCTGAGTCATCCTCATCTTGCCATTTATTAAAGTCAACCTTTAACCAATGATGCTTCTTTTTGTCTGATGTAAGATAGGGCCAGTAGGGCTCTGATGGATTGGCTTTTGTTAGAATGACTTCGATGCACCTACCCCGGTTAAAACTTTTACTTTTGTCTGGATCAATTTCTTTGTATAAGTTGATTGTTACTTCGTACTGTTTCTTTTCTACACCCCCAAGACCTTTGAAAACCATTGAGTCTTTGTTAAATCTATAAAGATGATCATAAAGATAATTAATATTTTACAATTTTTATTTTAAAAATAACCTACTTGATTTCTGGATCTTTACAATCTTCTACATTTATCGTTAAAAAGATTACTGAGGCTCTTTGGGCCCACATTACAGGAGGTGGTAATCTGTAAAAAAAAGTGAGGTTACATCGTAACTTTGTAGGGATTCCATAATTATTAGCATTTTAATGTTTATTCGCCTTCATTTAAAAGAGCCGTTAATTATAAATCATTTCAAAAAGAAATAATACTAAATGGAAAGTTCTAGAATCGATTATACGCCGAGATCAACAACATGGCCGAGAAAAATCGTGTTTTACAATCGAATTTTGTATGATAAATTAAGCATTTACTAACAACTCTTTACAACGCAACTTGAAGACACGAATAATACATTAAATAAAGATAACTTACGATTGGTCAGTCATTTTCCTGTTGGTTTTCTACTAAAATTAATACAATGTACGCCTAACTACTAGTTTACCGGGACAACTGCCTGAAGTTATCGCTTTTAGTGCTTCCAAGCTTGCTCGCAAGATTGCACGTGGCTCGGGGAGTAACTAAATTTTCGAATTATGCGCGGGAACGCACTTTTGAATTACAACTTTAACGTATTCGATTAAATAATCTCAAAAAGCTGTCAAACCTTTATTAATTGACATCTTTTTGACAGTTGATGACTTGACTTGTTTTAAAATAAAATCTTATCAGTGCAATATATACAGGGTGTCTCGATCATGACTTAAACCAAACTATAGTTATATTCACAATTTTGGAAAGCTAAATTGGGAAAGTGAGGTTAAAACCGTTTGACAGTTGTCAAATTGGAAAAGTGAGGTTAAACACTTGATAGTTGTCAGATAAAATGTAAAAAATGATTTTAAATTCAGAAAAAACATTACTTTGCGTTCGTCGTAGATAAAGCTTTAAAGTATATACTTTTTCTACGACGTGTTCGTTATTATAAAAAATTGATTATTAAAAAAATAGTTTTTATAATAACGAACAAACCCGTCAACCCTTTCTTTGCGGCCCGAAGCCTAGCCATAGTAATTTTTAGATAAAAAAAAATGCCCACATAATGTAAAACTCTTTTTCTTATCCAGTGTTGTAAGATAAAGAAGGGCAATATATTTTCTGACGAGATTTTTTATTTGATTTTTTGATTTTTGATCTTGTGTTAGTATAAAATCCCTGATGCATAAAAACTTAAGTTTGGGAATTTCCATTCCTGCAGGACCGTATATTTGGGGACCCTGGGCTAAATTTGTTTGAGGGTGTTTTAGAATAAGATGCTGAACCTTAAGGGTGTGAAAAGTTCAAATAAACCTATGACCTAAACCTCTTAATTTTTGAGTTACAGGGTATTAAAGTTTTAAGAAAAAAATCGTTTTTTTATCATAACTTTAATAACTTCCTAGATATTTTTATAAAATTTTCCACACGCCTTCTAAGCATTAACAGTAAGTTTTTGATGTAGAAGATTTTTTATTTTTTTTACCAGTGGCGTCCGTACAGGATGTGGTCTAGATATTTTTGGAAAAATATTATGCACGCCACTGCTATTTTTCAAAATAAAAATTATTTTTTAAATCCCCATTGATTTTATGGCAAATTTGATTTCTTAACTTCATTTTTCGTACGACTATCAGAAATACTCCAGGAATTTTTCTAAGGGTACGAAACTCAATGAGGAGAAGAGCTGAAGCATGCATGCATACTTGCAGGTTGTGGCCACTTTCAACTGCTAATCTAAATTATTTTTGTTTTTGTTTACGTTATTTAATGTTAGTTCTTTTAAAATTATTTTATAATTAAATTTAATTTTAATGTTTATTTAATCATGGCATTGTTTTCTCAATATGCGCATTAAATGCTTTTTATTTTTTCATCGAAAACCGTTAGTCGTACGAAAATTGGTCAAGAAATCAAATTTGCCCTAAAATGAATGGGGATTTAAAAAATAATTTTTATTTTGAAAAATAGCAGTGGCGTGCATAATATTTTTCCAAAAATATCTAGACCACATCCTGTACGGACGCCACTGGTAAAAAAATAAAAAATCTTCTACATCAAAAACTTACGTTAATGCTTAGAAGGCGTGTGCCAAATTTTATAAAAATATCTAGGAAGTTATTAAAGTTATAATAAAAAACGATTTTTTTCTTAAAACTTTAACACCCTGTAACTCAAAAATTAAGAGGTTTAGGTCGTAAGTTTATTTGAACTTTTTTTCTTAAAATCAATTAAGGATGCACACCCTTAAGGTTCAGCATCTTATTCTGAAACACCCTGTAAATGCATATACCCATGGGTATATTTTTTTATCGGGCGAAATCAACAATATTGCTGTCCTAGAGCATAACAACTGCGTTAAGAGATAAATATATCGTTTTTTCTATTAAATGAATTGTTTTATTCAAATTCACTAAAAAAAATGTTATAATATACCTACAGTGTCTGTTACAGTGACAAATTGTCCTCATCTGCAACTGTCCCTAGCGCAATTTTCTTTATTTAAAGTGGTATAAATTTATATTTCTTAAAGGTTAAGCAACAAAAACTCATACAAACTCTTAATTAATTAATTTGGCTTGTTATGTTTGATCGCAAACGATTCGCTGCGAAATTTTAAAATATTTGCTTCTTATATTTGTATTTTTTTGCTAAACACAAATTTTTTATTTGCAAAATTTAATATCAAATGACAATTTTTAAAATGTATTAAAAATGTCATAGGAAGTATTTTTATATTCGATTTAATTTTTATTTTATTAAATAAGCAGATATTTTTAATTCTTTGTGATATTTTTAATTCCGACTGATTGAGAGTTTGGATACCCCTCTTATTCCAAACGATATAAAAACCGACCCACTCCAACAACAAACTAACGCGCACTATCCTTGTTCTGCACACGCTGGGTCAGTGCGACATCGGACTCAAAGATGTTCTTTGATCGGACTCACGTACGTCGTAGATCTCATTGATTGTGCCGCCATCTAGCGATAGAATTATTTTGTAATTCCAGGGGTGTCCAAACTTTCAGTCGGAATTAAAAATATGTGTTTACCAAAAAAATACAAATATAAGAAGGAAATATTTTAAATTCATTATTTTAAAAATATTCCATGATCGATGCTTACTTTTTAGTAAAATTCATTATCGAATATTTAAAAAAAAACTTAATAATGGTTTAAAATTGAGTTAAAGTTTATGAAATATTAGATAAATATTTCCAATTTTACCTAGTAACTTAAAAATGTTAAGAAAAACTGCAGGAATCCGTTCCCGCATCAAACTACATAAAAAGCATTGTTTATCACAGGTCGCTATGGAGAAACAAAAGCAAGTGCTTGCAAACATGGTGCCCGTCAAAAAGTGTTGTGCTGTCAAACTTTTAAAGAGTGAATTATTTTTGTGCAAAAAGTAAGTTGAACTTGGTTAAAAATTGCTTATTTATATTGCAAAATTTTGTCCCGCGAGAAAGCAGAATTCAATATTTTTTTAGTTTTTAACTAGACCGTAATAAAAACTCTAGATAAAAACATAAGACTTCTTAACCTTTGATTTGCTCGTTATAACAGCACGATAGATAAATATCAATACGCCTAGAATATATTTTTAATATATTTTCTTTATTTGTCCCGCGAGTAATCTTTAATGGCATAGAAATATTTAATTTTTATTTTTAACACTTACAAAAGCTTTTTTTAAAAAAAATGAGATTTTAATAAAACTACTATTATATTAGTACACAGTAAAAAATTTTGAGTAAAATTTTACTCAAAATTAAATCAAAATGTATTTAATCTAGGTCCACACCAAATTGATTAATTTTTTTAACTCAGTGTGTTTTAGTAAACTATTTCCTTTTTGAGTGAATATATTTATCAAATTACGTACTAAAGTCCTACAAATTTTGAGTAAATTCTAGTAACATTTGAGTAAAATTGTAATACATTTTGATTTAAATCCTAATTAAATATACTAAAGTCTTAATCATTTTTAGTAAATTTTAATCAACTTTTGAGTGAATTCTAGTCAAATTTGAGTAAAATTTTAATATATTTTGATTTAAAACCTAATGAAATATAAATAAATTTTTAGTTAAATTTACTCAAAATGGTGTTCTTTCAACTTTAAAAAGTGTTACAATTAATCAGCAATTGATTAAATTAAAGTGGTTATAGGGGTTAAAGCCAGGTTAAATAAAAAAAAATTAGAGAAAATAAATTTTATTTGAAATTCCATGGAACAAATGAACAAAACAATGTATAAACTATATTTATAAATAATAAAAAAACGGAGTAGTTAATCTTAACTAGGGGATAAAAAACTGGCCCTAGACTAAAAAATGAACAAAGCAGTATGTGCACATTATAAAAAAACATATTTTGGTATGACAAACTATTCATATACTCAGCAATTAAAAAGGGTTTGTCGGAGAATCCAAATTTTGTTATTATATCGTTAAAAGGAACGTTTGTCTGAAAAAAAATTGGTTATTATCTGATATTACCAAAAAACTGTAGTATATACTATAAAATAACGCATAAATGGCTTTAAAACAATGTAAAAGTACCACTTTTTTAAAGTAAGTTTTACATTTATTATTGTTAAATATCCAAATTATGTTGTAAATAATATATTTAATTAAAGTTTAAAAAAAATAACCTTAAAATTTTGTAAATAAAAGAATATTTAAATATATATTAACAAAAGATATGTATATACTTTTATTAAAGTTAAAAATGCCATTTCAGCAAGAATTTTAAGATAAGTTAACAACAAAAAAATTGGCACTATTGATAGTGTAATGTTATTGTCAATTTGGCATTTTTTAATGTGAACCTATGTAGGCAAAATAGTGTTATTATTGTATTGATACAATAATGAATAACCTCTAAGGACTGCGTTATAACGCTAATAATATTAATATTATATTATGTTAGAAGACAAAAATTAAATACAAAATTGCAACTTTTTAATCAAATTTCAATCAAAGTAGGTATAGAGTAATTTTTACTCGATATTGGGTAAATGAAGACGCCGGTTATTGAAGAAAAATTTTAGGATTTAACATTCATTATTATTTTTATAAATAAAGCCATCATAATAAGGATTACACCTACCTACTCAAATTTCCAAAATTAAATAGTATCTAGGTATGTACGCTGGGGCTGGGGTACTTACCAAATATAAACAAATTATCGTAAGATGAGATGTCCGCTTTTGCCCACTTTTTGTGGTTTTTCAATTCCAGCACAAACACAAAAATTATTTTAACTATAGTTATATGTTTCTGATAAATTACCACAACGAATTACACAATTATTGCCAGTTTAACCTGTTGAACACCACGCATGCAGTGCAGCCAACATAAGCGCGCGAAATACAGTGCCCTGGGTATGCGCATGTGTGTAATGCTATTTTACTCGAGTTTTACTTCATGTAGAGTAAATAATTATTGCATACTCAAAAATGATTTAGGTTAAATGCAAAATGAGTAAATCAATTAATTTTAA